AAAATATTATATATATAATATTTAATAATATGTTGATATTAATAAAGGTATATTCATATATATTTGATGTTTCAAATATATTTAATAAGAAAATACAAAGAAATTAGAACAATCAAGTAGCAATTTATATTATTTAATAAATATTAATAAGTTTAGAATTAAAATTATGAATTAAATTGAAAAATAACATCAAATTTTAGGACAATATTTATAAAGTATCAAATATTTGAGGTATATCAATAAGTTTTAATAATTTAGGGGGTCAAAACATAATATTAAAAAGTTTGAAATTTTAAAAAAAAACACTGTTGAACCGGAAAAACCGGTTTTTTTCCGGTCAAACCCGGTTTTTGACCGACTTTGATCGGGTTTAAATTCCCGGTTTTTTAGTATGACTCGGACCGGCTACCTGGCCGGTTCCCGGTTCGACCGGCCGGTCCTGTCCGAGTTTCAAAACAGAGCTAGAGGGAGCCATTTTTGCCACGATAGTCTGATCAGTAGGAAATACCCTGAAGACATAAAATGATCAGTAGATTCCCCTTGTTAAGGAGATCACATATTAATTCTAAAGCAATTAAAGATTCTGTTCATTTTTTTTTTGTTTATATAGTGTAAGTAGGAGGACTCGATTCTATTCATGTATTTATCCTCATGCAACTATTTCTGTTTATGAGTTTGTTCCGCAGATAGATGCGGGGCTTGTTTTTCTGGCTCTAAGTTTTGGAATTGAGTTTTTGCTTCGAGTTATATTCTCAAACCTATCAATCGTGACTTTGTAGATGCTTTGGAAAATAATGGAGAACTGACAAATTAAAGTTGAAAATTGTTCGCTTGTCAAGGAAAATTAGGCGATAATAACATTTCGGTATTACTCATTTTTTATCCCATAAAAATAGATCCAGATGTTGGCATATTAAATCAAGGCTAAAAAATAGAAGTTTCCATGTTGTTGTATGGTAGTAATATTATAGTCAAGTCAAGTTTTTAGTAGTTTATTAGAATCAAATTACAGTTGTTCTGTTATATACGAATCAGCATTTTATCCGATAATTTCTTGTGGTTGTCAAGACTTGTTTTCCAAATGATGTAATCTATAAATAAGGAATCTCAATTGAGAACAATGAAAATTTGAGAATATTATTATTATGTGTGATTAATGATCAATTGTCGACATTATTCCTCTTCTCCAAAAATATATCCTGTTTTCGCTGCCAAAATTGGCAATATTGGCGTATAAAATCAATGCTAAAATATAGAAATTTTCATGTTATTGTTTAGTACTGGTATTTTAGTCAAATCAAGTTTTTAGTAGTTCTATTGGATTCAAATTGTAGTAGTTTTATTATTTAAGGATCAGTAATTTATAAGATAATTTCTTCTTGTTGCTAAAATTTGTTTATGAATTCATTTAGTCTATAAACAGGGAGTGAAAATTAATTTAAGAGTATTATTATTATTATTATTATGGATGATTAATGATAAATTGTTGATATTATTCCTCTTCTCCTACTCATATTTTCAGTTCAATAGAAGCCACTATTAAAAAGTTCATACTAACCAAAAATTAAAAAAAAAATGAAAGAATTCAAAAATGTTACAATAAAGGCATTTTTAACTACGCCTTTAACTAGCTTTTTCCCCATGCAGCAAACCAGATTCTTTTTTTTTTTTTTAACGTGATTTACAATAAGCTTCAGAATTTTGTCCTTTTCATAAAATGTTTCGATGAGAATGATAAAATTATAAATTAGAAAGAGCCCTTAAGCAGTGTCAAATGAATGTCACTTTCCTACCAATTTGGACTAAGACTTGGTCCACATTAAAAAAGGGAACACATAGAAGTATATTCATTGTGGTAAGACACTAATTTTGTTATTAATTGTTGTAAGATAATAATAAAAAAAAAGGTGACTAGAACCAATGTTTCGAGGTTGGAATCCTTTGTTTTCCAAAACGAGAATTAGATGGAGTTAAAAATTCACTATCAACATTCCAGTCTTCTGAATGCACTAATTTATTTAAGAACTTATTGATTATCTGTTTTAATATTCATCATGATGAAATTAGACGATGTTAATTAGTGAGAGTACTCAAGAAAAGTAAAAGGAATTGATTACTTCTTAGCTTGACTTTTCCTCAAGGGGTAAACTGCTTAATTGTAAATTATCTTTTATTCTCCTGCGATTTGATGCTTTACCACACAATCCCTCTATAATTTAAAAATTTATATATAACTCCTTCGTTATTTGAATTAAAGTGTTACCAATAGTTTTTCATTAAAACTAACAATCAATAGTAAAAATTTAAAGCCAAACTAATAAATTGATAAAATTTACATCTTTCATTAATTCTTTTTTCCCTTCAAACAAAAAAAAAGAAGAAATTGAAATAAAAAATAGATAAATAAGAACTAGAAAATACCATTAAAGATTTGGTTTAAAAATCTATAATGATATTTGTAGTAAAAAAAGTTTTGGTATTTTTTGTTTCTTATTTATTCGTTTTATATTTTCCTTCCATCTTTTTTGTTTCTTATTTATTTGTCTTTTTATTTTTCCTTGCATCTGTTTTGCATTTGCTGAAAATTAAGATTTTGTAGGCCAACATATAATTTTTCAAAATCATCTCCTCTCTCCAGAGAGAGAGAGAGAGAGGGAGAGAAGGGAAAAGGAAAAAAGAAAAAAGAAAAACATTAATGAAATAGTGATCAATTTATTAGTTTGATTTTAAATTTTTACTATTGACTGTTAATTTTACAAAGAAACAAATCACGACAATTTAATCAAAACTACGAGGAGTTCATATATATATATATATATATATATATATATATTTATTTATTTATTTATTTATTTATTTATTTATTTATTTATTTAAATTTACCCTTTAGTTAAAGAGGCAAACTGCAATTGTAGTATTCTTGTTTCAAATTTCACCATTGGTGGTGGCTGCGTTCTACTTTATCTGTTGTTCTTTTCCCGTTTCTTTGGAAGTTTCTTTCAGTCTTCTTTGGAAGTTTTTATTTCAAAATCATTCTCAACTGGAAAGAAATCATCTGAGTAAGAAGAGAAGACTAAGAAGCAATGTGGAGATGGCTTGGAGATCTTTTGAACCGCAGTTTCACCTTGGTCTAGCCTTAACTGAGCTCCATCGGCAATTGCAGCAGGAGGGATGGCGTTTTGGCTACGAGGGTGTAGCTGGAGTTTCAGGTTTGCGAGGATTACTGAATCCAAATTTGCGCAGGATCGGCGATCAGAACCTGTATAATACTCTAGATGATCACATAACCAAACTCCAAGACGATGCCAATTTCTTGATAACTTTCAGGGATTGCATTCACAAGTGGACTGATCCAGGCTATGTTATTAGGAATTCGGGATTTCTTGTCTCTAAGATTAACGCTGAAATTGTTGATATTGCAGGCAAACTCAGCATCGCCTGTCGCAAAAAGTATGTTTCGAAATGTCCTTCCAAGCTCATTGATGTGCTCAGCAATTTGCTGACCAACATTCAGAAATTGAAACCGGAAATTGCACAAGCATGTCAGGCTCTGTCTGCCTCCCGCTCATTTCAGGTTGTTTCTCCCTTGCACCGTTATTTTCTGTGGGTTGAATTTGTCCACTCCGTTGCAATCACGAACTTCAGGCCTCTGTTAAAGAGGGTGGATCGTTTGGATCAACAAGAAAACTTAGCAGCCTTGGTAGAGAACCTAAATAAGCTCATATCGTTCCTTAATCGTGCACAAAAAGGTTTTGAAGATGGATTTGTAAGAGACCGCAGCATAATTGATGGCTTCTTGGTTCATGCTGCATCTGTGGTGATAAGGGCAGCAAATCTGTCATGTTTTTTCTGGTCCAAACATTGGGCAGATCCAACATCTGATCAGGCCATGGTAGACAGTACTATTACTGATCTTTCAAATCTGCGAAGCAAGATTGATTTTACTACTCCCAAGATGATAGAGTTCGCGATCAAGTTCCTCAATGCTCTCAATAAAATCAGCCATGGACGAACTGCGAATCATGAGGTGGATTTAGCAGCTAATTTTCTGGAGCATGTTCTTTGTGGAGAATCCAAGACTTGTTTTAGCAAGGAATTGATGCCCCTGGTAATCTTTGTCCTCAATGAGCCAGGGGAGTCCCTTCAGCCTCTGGACGCCAAGTGTTTCTCTGCAGAAATTAAACATTTGATCCTAGAGGTGGCATTACAAAGACAACGTTGGGTCCCAGGAAAGATTCGGCTTATCAAGGAAAAGATGTTGCTTCTGGAGGTACAGATTTTCCTCAAGGAGCAGCTCGGCAACAGCACTATATTCAAGCAACCTGCCGAGGACCAAATTAAGGCGCTTCATAAAAGGCTGAAGGACCTGCCAAATGATCGCTCTGGCCTACAAGAAGCGGAATTTGAAAATGGGAAGCTGGTTTTTGACTGTATCGAAAAAGCCACTGCAGAGATAGAAAGTCTATATCACTCCTTTAAGGCAGAGAAAATTAAAAAAAGCAAGGTGAGGAGTTTGGTTTCTCTGTTGCTTTCCCAGATTCTGCTTTTCAAGGCCAGTTGGGTTCTAATGGAGCTACGAAATGGTGAGGAAACTTTGACGGGTCTAAAATCTGAAGATCAAATTGAAGCCTTTCTTATTGGGGCGAAATTGTTTCTAGCTCTTCTTGAAGATAAAAAGGAGAAGAGCAAAGAACATGAGGAAAAGATGTACATGATACCAGTGGAGGCAATTAGTTGGAGGATAACACATTTGTATTACTTAATTATTGCCCAAAAAGTCAACAAAGAGGTGATCGAGAATTTGTTTTCAGGTTTCATAGATGAGATGGAAATAATCACGGCAGAGCTGAGAGGGATCTGTCCAAAAATTTCAAGGTCCAATTTCCCAAATTTCATAGGGATTCAGTTCCTTAATTTTCTTTCGGCCAATCTTTTAGAACTGATAAAGCGTAATCCAGATTCAATCGCTCTAGTGAAAGATCACATTGAAAAGATTCAACTGGACCTGGCGTTTTTCATATCTCTGTTCACAGGAACTTCGTACCCAGACAATGAGCCTTAAGAACTGAAAGATCTTACTACATGTCTCACAGAGATGGCATACGAGGTGGAATATGTCATTGACTCGATTGAGATGGGGATAGGTGCTAATTTGCAACATTTGCTATGGATTTATGATCTCCAAGAAAGGATTAGATTCATCAAGCATCTGGCAAAAAATACTGGGGTCCTTAGTGTCGCCCAGATTAGGGGGCATGTACGACAAGCCAGTACACCAAAAACTGACAAAATGGTGATATCTCTTGGTGATCAGGAACAAGAGGTAATTGATAGGCTAACACGGGGATCATCGAAACGAGATGTTGTATCTCTTGTTGGTATGGCAGGTATTGGAAAAACCACCCTGGCAAAGAAGCTATACAATGATCCAAATATAGTCTATCACTTTCACTGCCGTGCATGGTGTTCCGTTTCACAGGTATACCTGAAAAGGGACTTGTTGCTCAACATTCTGAGAGATATTGAAGGACTTACAGATGAGATTCATGAGATGAGTGAAGCAGATTTAGAACAAAGGTTGAGGCAGCGGTTGTTGAAAAACAAGTACCTTATAGTTCTGGATGATGTTTGGGATGTTGAGGTCTGGAATGTCTTGGAAAGATCGTTACCTGATGATGGAAACGGAAGTAGAATCATGATAACAAGTCGCCTCCGCAAGGTGGCTTTAGAAGCTAAACCCGACAGTGATCCCCATTCTCTTCGTCTACTAAATCGTGATGAAAGCTGGAAACTACTGCAAATGAAGATATTTCATGAAGAAGGATGCTGTCCTGAGGAACTAGTCGACATTGGGGAGCAAATTGCTGAACGCTGTGGGGGGCTGCCTCTAGCGATTGTTGCAGTGGCTGGTATCCTAGAAAAGACTGAAAAGGAATTGGAGCAGTGGAAACTGATTGCCAAAGAGTTGAACTCCCGAGTAATTGGTGATGCAGAAACTCGGTGCAAGGACATATTACAGTTGAGCTACAGTCACTTACCAGCTCATCTAAAAGCATGCTTTCTGTACTTTGGTGCATTTCAGGGAGAAAAAGATGTTAGGTTCAGCAAGTTAATACAGTTGTGGATTGCAGAAGGCTTTGTACAGAAAAAGGAGCCAAGGAGTTTAGAAGAAACTGCTGAGGAATACTTGCTTGATCTAATTGATCGGAGCCTAGTAATAATTTCCAAAAAGAGATCCAAGGGTGGAGTGAAAACATGCCGCATCCATGATTTGCTGCGTGATTTGTGTCAGAGCCAATCATCAGAAGATAAGTTTTTACAACTTGTAACCAGGTACGATGAACCGTATGCTTCTCTTCTTGATTCAGACCACTGGGTTGACTTTGATTCTTATTATCCTTCAAATCCTGTAAAATATGAGAGCCATCGACTGTGCATATGTTTGAAACGTAAGGTTTTTGTTGATTCAAGACCTTCTGGTCCAAGCACCCGTTCTTTGATATTCTCTGCCTCTAGCGATACATATCCAAGACGTCCATACAATCTCTCATTCATTCCTCGGCATTTCAAACTGGTTAAGGTTCTTGATTTGGAATGTATCAATATCGGTCATTCCTTTCCTGCTGAAATGGAGTTTCTAGTTCAGTTGAGATATCTGGCAATCAGCGGTGATGTGGGTTCTATTCCGCGCTCAATATCCAATCTCTGGAAACTTGAAACTCTGATCGTGAAGGGATTAAGTGGCATGGTTTTACTGCCAGATAGTTTGTGGTGCATGACAAGGCTAAGGCACATCCACGTTAAGAAACAAGCTGCTTTCAGCATGGAAGATGAAATGTCTGGAAATTCCTTCCAACTGGAAAACTTGGTCACTTTTTCTTCACTGTCTCTCTCTTTTGGGATGGATACAGAGAAGATACTAAGGAAGCTGCCCAATCTTCGAAGCTTCAGTTGTATATTTCTGGATGCTAGGGATTCCTCTCAGAGTTGTAATCAGTTTCCAAGGTTAGATTTTTTACCTCAGCTGGAGTCGCTGAAGATATTCTACGCTGGTAGGACTCGCAAGCCTGGGGAATTCATTCTTCCCCTAAATTTAAAGAAATTAACTTTGTCAAGCTTTGGCCTACCATGGGATCATATATCTTCCATCGGGAGGCTTCCAAACCTTCAGGTTCTTAAATTAGTTTCTGAAGCCTTTGATGGGGAAAGTTGGGATATGAGGGAAGATGAGTTTCCTGAACTCAGATTCCTGCAGTTAGACTCTCTGAACCTCGTTCAGTGGAATGCCTCTTGTGATCACCTTCCCAAACTTGCGCAGCTGGTCTTACGAAACTGCAAACGCCTTCAGGAAGTCCCATATGATTTTGCTGATATTCCTACGTTGGAGTTAATTCAAGTGCAACGGTGTGGGAAATCCCTTGAAGAGTCCGTCAGAAGTATCGGTGAAGCAACTGAGTGCATTCAAGTCCTCATCAGTCGCTCATATTCATAATGTCAGCCAGCCACTATGGTACCTTTCTGCTCACTTGTAAGTAAACTTGCCAAATCTTTAGCAACTTATTCATCACTTCATAGCATTTCAATTTGAAGACATTGCCTCTAATAAGCCAAACAAAAGAGCATAAATTTGTGTTTTAAATCTGGATCAATACCTGTTCTTTTCTCTGTTTGGACTTGGAGTGACTGCAATCAATGTTTTTCTCTTCATTGTTTAAATGCTTGCTAAAATTTTAGAATCAAATCACTTAAGATCTTACTTCAGTGAAAGCATTTAACTTCTGATCTAGATGTGCAGGAATGCCTCCAACCTCTCTGGAATACGAGCATTTTACGATTTGAAACCTCATGATGGTTTTAGTATTAATCATGCATTTTTATCAATCCTAAACATAGTTCACTTTACATGAGATCAACAGTCTAGTGGAGTGGTCTGGAGGAGAGGATGATCTCTTGTGACTAAACCATGGAGGGATATAGATTGTGCATGAAACCCAACTTGTAGTCCATCCTCTTGCATATGAACCTGCCTCATGTTTAGCAATAGTTTAATTCTGCGAAAATGATTCAACCTTGAAACTGCTCATTGTGGAATTTCAGGTTGTTAATTTAACATAGAGTATCTTCAAACTATTTCGGATATTCTAGTGAATGTTAATCAAACAAAATAATTACGTCATATGCCCCCTCTCTTTATTTGCTATGTCTAATTTTTTTTTTTGTTGCCCAATTTTGTTATTGACAGTAACATCTTCTGAAGGGCATGTAAGGCTTTCTGGCTTTTTGTAAACTGAGAAGGTGTCCACAATCCAATTTCAGAGTTCACTGGTTCAACAACTTCCTCAATTATCTGCTCTAGTCAAGAGAATCAAGAGAACTTTCATAGCAAAAGAAGGGGGGAACTGGAAAAAAGCCAGTAGTGTTTCACAGGCTTGACTGTGACAAGCCCTTGGAGGACTTGAGGAATGAGATACTTCTCTGTTATTTGTATATGGTGTTGTGGTTTCTTGCCTTTATGAATGCTTGTGGCTCACAAGTGCTGCTTCTTTACAAAAGGAAAAAATTCCATTTATAATGGAATGATAAATGTTGTATTACAGTCTTGAAGCACTGTAAATTTGCATTTCTGCCTTGTTTTAAACTTCACCTTGAGTGATGCAAAAAAGTCTTTATTGGGCATCACTCTCTTTTGGATTAACTTCATTATGCTGGTAAAATGATGACCACACTGGTTGACATCTCATCTACTGTATTAGACTTCTTTTTTTTTTTTGGTCAAGTATTAGACATAATGGATGTTGAGGTTTCCTGGATTGTGTTATTTGTCAAAATCTAAGACTGGTGTTTTTCATTTTTTTTTTCTACACAACAATAGCTTATGCACAACAGAAAATAGTAAGCTGTAAATATCAACTAAACATGGTCCAAGGTGTGTGGCATATACAAGGGCTACTACTCCCATGGTACATTCTATCTAAGAACCTGATCATATATGATGTTTAGATTCTGAAAATTCTTGCTATAAACACCATTTATTTCATTCAATAATCTTTAATTCAAAGGGTCAATTCATGTTACATTTGCAAAAGTAAGCCCTAAAATATGCTTTTCGTCAAAAAATTATGTATGTAGAACTTATTAATAATTATTTTTTTTTATTTCTCTCGACATTATTCAAGTTTGGAATGACAATCAAATTGTTTCAAATGTCAAAAAAAATAAATTTTACCACAAATTCAACAACCTATTCTAAGAGATATTCTATAAATTCACTGTGCTAACCTATCATTGTGTCAAAAGAGATTTTGTTTTTTCTATTTTATCCTCAGAAAATAAAGATACACTACTTATAATTTTCTCACAATATGAAAAAAGTTTCAACAAAAAATAATTCGGTGATGCTTAAGCATATTTTGTTCTGATATAACTAAAAGAGACTTTTTTAAAAAAAAATCTTATTCCTAAAAACAAAATTGGTCTAAATATGAATTTTGATTCATCTTTTTCCCATGGAGATGAATATAAAAATAAAACTTCACCAACTAAAATTTGATACCAAGAAAACACAAAAAATATAAATAACCCTTTTGAAGTGATAATCCATAGCCAATTATGAAGGCGTGTACTAGTTATTTTTTTACAAAGGTCCACGCCTTTGTTCCAAATTGACAACTCATTTGCTGACTATTCTCCAAGACTCTTTCCAACCCCCAAATGAATGTGGCCAGCACTCCGTATCCGTTCCCATTCAAAAAAGCAAACCCCAACAAAAACCTTCTCCATCAAAATCCCATCAAACCACAACCAATTTCCGCAAAATAATCAATGGAGGCAGCTGCGGCGGGTCTGATTTCCGCCCCAGGCGGCGGAGGAGGAGCTGGGCCGGCTCCGTTCCTGCTGAAAACCTATGACATGGTGGATGATTCGTCCACAGACGACATAGTTGCCTGGAGTCCGACTAGAAAGAGCTTCATTGTGTGGAACCCACCTGAATTCGCCCGACTTCTCCTCCCTACTTATTTCAAGCACAATAATTTCTCTAGCTTCATCCGCCAGCTGAACACCTATGTATGTATGTTCTTTAGTTGATTGAATAGATTACTTGATCATTTCTATATATATGTATTGATTTTGGAATTTTATTAGTATATTTTTGTTTAATGATTGAATTGATTACTTGATCATTTCTATATATATGTGGGTTTCTTTTTTTGGGTCTAGTGTAACCGAGGTTAATTTTGATGGATTAGTAAAAGGAAAAGGATGTCTCTTTTGGGGTATGCTTGGTTCTGGATTGATATATATATATATATATTTTGGTTGATGTGTGAATTTTTAATGTTGTGCTGAATTTGAAAAGGGAGGACTTTGTGTGATATGGGATATTTAGATTGTTTCCTATATGAAGAAGGCTTTCAATTGAGTTAAGGTGGAATGATTGGGAAATGTATTGAATAATTGGTATTATTGGTCTGTATGTTTATGACCCTGTTGGCATTTTGGCACTGCACTACTTTTTGTGGGGCTTTTTTATGCAGGCGGTGATTAGCACTCGGAAAAGTCAGTTTTTGAGTACTAGTTTTTGTTAGAGACATGGAAAGGAAGGGTTGCTAAATTAAACTCTCCGCCATGGTTAGCAATATCAGCCAATTCCGATACGACTCAGCCGAGTAGTAACCGGAACAAAGGGGACCGGTACGATACCTATCCCCTAATCGCAGATAATACCAAATCCGTGGCGACTCACTCTAACTTGGCCAATATTGGCCGATTCGATTTTGTGATGCATGGTATCGGCTGAATATCCGAGTCAACTCTGACTCGGATATTTACTCAGATTGTGTCTTTTTTGGTATTTTCTGATTTTAGTAATTTTTTCAAAATTTTTGGAAATTTTGATGTGGTATGATGTGCGTATCACCTGATATTCAACCGATATGCCGCGACGGATGTGGAACAACCGCAACCACGACCCGCGACGGCAAACCATGCTCTCCGCTATTGGAAGTGGGCTTTTGTGATTTCCTTGTATTTCTTGGTGCTTAAATTTTTCTGTTGCGATCCTTATAAGACATGGATGATCCAAATCAAATCGTGATCACCTGGCTTATTAAACTTAGAAAGATCTTATACAGCAGTATACTATAGTGGCATCACAGTCTTCAGTTGTTGTCTTTGGCATATTTAAGGAGATAATTTTTTTCGCACACATGGTTAAGGAGATGTAATGAGTTTGATTTGACAATACAGATGAAAAAAGTTAAAAGAAGTGCATTTCTAACTTTAGTTTAGTCCCTAAGATTTAAAAGGAAGTGAGTGTGACCGTCAACATTTATAAAGCGTGTTTGGCTGTCTCTTGGCTCATATTCTATCAGCTATAGATCCAAGAAGCACTTCCAGCTGACATGGTTACTAATATTCTAGGACATGTCAAAACCCATGATTCTCCTCATCAAGTTCTCACGTTAATTTTTGATTTGGGACGGTATGCTTTACGTGTCTGGTAGTTGTTGGAGGATGCGTCATTCTCAATTTTATCGTCTATTACTAACTAGGCTAGGTTGCTGTGATTTTCCTACTAGAAGAGTGTTCAGATTAAAAGCCGTAGGAGATGGTGTATGACTTTTTAAATTCTGATGAGTTCTTTGTTTTTTATTTCAATGTATCAAAACAAGATTATAGAAAGATTCTAGGGAGTATTTCAGCTATATTCTGTCTAATTTTTGAGATGATAAGAATGGAACATTGGATCTTTTGTCTAATGAACTAGCATTTTAGGTATTGAGATTAACATAGCTGCCTATGTTGATCAGCTGACTTGTCCTTGAGCTGCATGAACCCCTTGCATTCTTTCTCAAAGTTAAGGAGCTTTTGCTCTCTTTTTTGTGTATAAGTGCTCTTCCTGTAGAATGTATTCTATTGGTTTTTATCTCCCACAAGTCTGCACATTCACTAAAGAATAGATGGCAGTTTTTTTATTGAGTTTTATCTCCCTAAATTGTTGAAATGAGTGGGAAAATGCGGTATTGAGTCCATGGTTAACAGTGCCATTAGAAGATTACAGAGTTTAAAGATTTTATATAAGACTAGAAAATGGATATTTAGCCATTCTTTATGTTCCTTCCTGTTTACATTTTAAACTCATTAAGAAACTACTCTTCACCAAGTTTCCAATCTTGTCACTTGCAAACAGATACATTCACCATTCCAGCGTTCTAAACACTATTTCCACATGAATGACTATGTTAGTTGCTAAGTAAATAAGCTAGGAGTGAACTGCAGAATAACCAATTACCCCATCATCACTTTGGTCATGCCTTCCAACATTCAGTATTATTGCCACCCTGCTGTTTAGTACTTTAAAGCTCTCCACTCTCAGACATTGAGAACTCCAATGGTGTCACTATACGATGAAGCATTTGATCAAGTGCTTTTGTTACATATTTAGGATTTATTTGTAACTGATTGTTTTCTTATCTTTTTTCGTGAAATATTGTTTCTTGCTTTTGTAGTTATTGTCACATGAATGAAAAATTGCTTCAAACTTTTCCTCTCTCTTAGTTTTATTCTGCCATTAATGCTTAATGGAGGAGTTTGAGTTTTAGTTGTGCATAGCTATTAATGATTGATGAAATTTTATTTGAATTTTGCGTATGTATTAGAAGTAAGAAAGAATTTTGCTTTATTATAATACATCAAAACACAGTTGAAAATACCATGGTTGAGATGGGGAAATATTTCTTCACAAAAAGGGATAATGGATCAAAACATGCTAAAGGAAATGTTCACCAAAGAAAACAGAAGAAATCCAGAAACTGAACGAAATATCTGCAGTTGAAATTGACAGACAGAGAAACCTGCTAAATTTGTGTGGATTAATTGTGGCAAGTATACTTTCATGGTTTATGGTTAACTGCCCAAATAGCCAAAAAAAATCCTGTTCCAGTATACACTAATTAGAATATCTGAGTTTTGTTGGTATCTTATTTTGGCCCCTCTCCCCTCCTAGATATGTAATTCTGTCCATTATCTGAAGAAGAAAAATAAAAAGGACTTTTGTAATAGTTTGTCTGTGTTTTGGTTTGGTGAAGCAGGATGTTACTTGGTTTTTCTAGTTAAGTCTCTTCTTTTACACACAGATTTGTAAAGCTCACAACATAAACACCTTGTAGCAAGTGGTATTGTAAAGATACAACTCAAGATGGTTTTGTGTTATGAAATAGTTGGTTCTATTACTTAAATGGCCCTCAAATCTATTGCATTAATAGTTTTCCATGTTTATTGTGTGAAATGAATGATATTAATTCAGGGATTCCGGAAGATAGATCCTGAAAGATGGGAGTTTGCTAATGAAGAGTTTGTGAAAGATAAAAAGCATCTCCTTAAGAATATTCATCGTAGAAAACCCATTCATAGCCACAGCAACCCTCAAGGTACAGTGGTTGACCCAGAACGGACAGCTTTTGAGGAAGAAATTGATAAGCTATCACGTGAGAAGGCTGTTCTTGAGGGGAATGTCTTAAGGTTTAAACAGCAACAGTCTACTGCAAAAGTCCAGCTAGAAGATCTAACTCAACGCCTAAGTGGCATGGAGAAAAGGCAGGATAATTTGCTGACCTTCCTTGAAAATGCAGTTCAAAAACCATGTTTTGTTGAACTTCTTTCTCAGAAGCTTGAGTCTATGGATGTTTCAGCATACAATAAGAAACGAAGATTGCCTCAAGTTGATCAGACCCAGTATGTTCAAGAAAATATGATGGTGGACGACCATAGCAGCTCCAGACCTGAGTTTGGTAACAATTC